GCAGGAATGTGATTGGAAGTCTGAGCCTGGAAATCTGTATCATCATGGTCAAGGGTTTCTCCCAAGGAATCAATGGGTTGAGTTTTATGTTTATAAGGAGTTTGTCAAAAGAAAAACAACGTACATATGAGTAAAGTAATATTCATTGTGATGAACGATAATACTCAAATTTTAAATTTTATATGAATGTCATTTACTATTATTGGATTTCAGAGACATTTTACAAGGGTTATATCCAAAGCGATATTTCAGTTGATTATTCAGTGGAGAAAGAGAAAAAGAACCAAACACTGTTCTGTCTGCTTTGCCCAAATTTTCTTATTTAGTCTGCAGATGCCCCTCACCTGACATGTCCATTCAGAGGAGAATTTTGTCAGTGAAAAGTTCTCATTGTATTGAAGAAGAATGTTCAGGAATTGGTAGGCTTTATTATAATGGTCACACTGATTCCCTTACTATTCCCACACATGTCAAACAGATTTGCTTCCAAGAATTTTCAAATATTTTAAAATTGGATATAGATTTATTGTATACTTAAGATTATGGAATTAATGCTCATTTTTTGCAAAAAGAATCAGTTATTCAATTATATTACATGAGGGACTTATAAAAAAAAAAGTTAAATAGCCCCAGCACCACTATTAATACTTTGGGGAGGTTTTTTTTTTTATACTATGCTGTTTGAATTTTATTTTGGAACACCTCATTCAGATCAAAGTGACAACAAAACTTGTAGTAATAAACAACAAAAATTCCATGAGGAGTGATTTGTTGAGCCAGATTTATTAGAATTCTACTAGAAGTCTTTTCTTAGGTAATGACATTCTTAGTTCTCCCTTAGCCAATTGTAGTGAGTTCCAAAATATTTAGATCCCAGCTAGTAGAATTGAAGTTTTGAACCCAAACTCATAATTTCTTTTTTTAAACTTTTTATTTTACACTGGAGTATAGTTGATTAACAATGTGTTAGTTTCAGGTGTACAGCAAAGTGATTCAGTTATATATATACATGTATCTATTCTTTTTCAAATTCTTTTTGGGGAGGTTTATTTTAGCAAAATTTTTTTCTCTCCAGCTGTATATGTGTATGTGTGTGTGTGTGTGTGTGTGTGTGTGTGTGTGCGCACAGAATAGAAATTATTCTAACTGAACACTCAAAGGACACAGACTCCCCAACTCCTGTTTAGAAAAAGTAATTCTACCATAGGTTTCTTATACCTCCATGAATATAGAAAGAAGAGGAAAGTGCCAATGAACACCTCTAGTTTGACAAACCTTCCAATTATTTACACCTCCAGATTTATGCCTTTTAGGGTTATATAAATCAATTCAGAGTAATCATTATGGCACAATTTATCAAATAATATAAGCTTCAGATTACACTATTTTTAGATTTTTAAAGTTGCTTTCACAGGACATAGCAATACCCTCTCCAGTCCAAGTATCTTTTAATGCAAATAACATTTTAGAAGACAGATTTATAATAGTAGAAAACAGAATAAGATGGTAATAACTATAAATATTCATGTAAGTCTTTACATAGGACAGGAGAGTAAGATTGAACCTCTTATTAACGTTCTCCATTTAATACCTTATTAGGTTCTTTACTTTAGCTTTATGTTGAAGAATGGTGTCTCTTCTTTGGTAGCTGCAGGAAAAGAGTGGGCATGAGACTCAAATTCTACTATAAAAAAAGAAAGTAGAAAATAATTTTATCTAATAACAATACTATCTAACTTTTATTTAGTAATTATATGTCATTAAGTGGTGTCTATGTAATATCCCAACCTTCATGACAACTGTAGGAGATAGGTGCTATTCTTATCCCTGGTTTATCAATAAACTAACCAAAAAGTTGGTAGTTGTCAGACTAGGAGTCACATTCTGGAAGTCTGACAACAGAGTCTGTATTCATGAATGACATTATAATCCCTCCCTTCATTTTACATACTTTTTTGTTTTGTTTTGTTTTGTTTTTTGGCCGCGTTGTGCTGCTTGCGGAATCTTAGTTCCCTGACCAGGGATTGAACCTGGGCCCTCGGCAGTGAAAGCTCAGAGTCCCAACCACTGGACCGCCAGGGAATTCCCTATAATTCTTTAATTTGCCTGTATCAGTCAGTAATTCATCATGAATGTCTTTCTCCAACATTAATAAGGCCTAGTTTCCCATCATAACTGACCAAAAGTTATGTAACCTGTTGCCTCCTGTAGCTATTTATTTTTCTAACAGTTGGTTACTCTAAGTTGTTATATGATAAACATCTTGTGCATGTATCTTAGTGTGCTAAGAAAAACTGCCAAAAATGGAATTTTGGTCAAATAACAGACATAAGGGCTCACAGTATGCTGAATCTCATGATAGTAGTTAGAGGAATACAAGCACTGAAACATAGTTACTATCCCTGAAGTTTCTTGTTATACAGCAAATAATATAAAATCAGAGTAGACAGAATAAGCATGAGATAGGAGGTAATAAAGCCACTAGAGAAATTCAGGTCACATGCCTTGGGAATTCATAGGAAGGAGATATTATATCTCTAGCAACCTCTGTCAGGTTTTGACCAAATTATTCTGAGTTCAGAGGAACTCTATGGTAAAAAATGGAATTTAGGCTGTATGATTCATACCAGCTCTGTCCAGTAGAACTTTCTGTGGTGATGGATATCTTCTCCGAATGGTAGCTGCTAGCCACATGAAGCTATCGAGCATATGAAATGTGGCTGGTGCAACTGAAGACACTGAACTTTTAATTTTATTTAATTTTACTTAATTTAAAATTTTGATTTGATTTAAATAGCCATATGTGGCTATCATGTTGGATCTCACAACTTCATAACTTACAGTTTTTTTTTCTAATGGTGTTAGATTCAAAGTGAGACTAATGGAACAGCTACAGATAACATCATCAGAAATTGGGGTGGACTAGAAACCCTTCTGCTAGAGTGCCTGGTCTGGCTTCATGCAGGAGGCCTCTGCTCTGTATCTACACTTGTGCAGCTGGTTCCCTGTGGTATAGGAAGGGTTTGGCTTCATCCAAGCTCCCTCTTATCTCTCCTGATTTGTATGTGGGGCGCTGTGGGGTGGAAGTAGAAAGAAGGCAAAACAGGATCATGTTAACTTAAGTCATTTTGGGATTTCTTTCAGACACGCCTGGTCTCAAAGCTTCCTGTTCCTCCCCCAGTCCTGGCTTCTCTGGACTCTGTGCTTTTCGAGTGGAGGAAGCCCAAAGAGGAAAACAAGTTCTTGCGGTTCTACAACCATGGCCCATGTAAGTTCATGTTTATCCTCCTTGAGATGTTGTGGTTTTGAATTCCTGTGATCATTTTTCTTATCCTGAGACTTCCTTCCTAAGACAACCTGATTGCCGAAGCTGCACCCAGTTGCTCTGATCACAGTGAAGGATGGTGTCATACAGCCTAGTGGCCTCCTCCTTTGCCCCTCTTCTCTCTTTGCCCCTCTTCTCTCTCACCTGTGTTCACCTATTCATCACCTTTCCAAGTGCCCAGTCTCTCTCAGGAGCATTGATGGAGCAGTGATGGATGAAGTTGCTTGAGGGAGATATTTGAACTTCCCTTGTTAGAATCATGATTCTATGACACAGAGATGATGGTCCATTAGACTCCACAGACCTGAGTTTTAACAGGTTGATAAGATGGAATTTAGTGTTGAGTGTTCTGCATGTGATGAGATCCCATACCCTGAGAAATTTATAGGGCTAGATTGGAGTGTGACTGAGGCCTGCACGTGGGGATATCAGGGATCTATCCAGGGGGTCCCCAGAGGCATGAATAACAGGACAAAAGTCAATTTTGTGGTTGAGGAGGATGTGCTGGTCTCTAGTGACATCAGTGTCATTGTGGGTCATCCTACATCAGCATCCTCCAGCTCAGGACCAAGACAAGTGTTCCTGAAGGTTGGTGGTAGCAGGGTAGGAAGACCCTCCAGATCCCTTATGGGGAATGAAGAAAGGCTAATGGGACTGGGGAAGACCTTAGACATCTTGTCCAAAATAAATGCCTAAATATGACAGAAGGATTAGCCTGATATATCCACAAGATTAGCCAGCCGGTAAAAAAATTAACTAAGAGTTTGTCATTTGTTTTAACAAGGAAAAATGCTTATGACATTTTCTTGCATAATGATGAACCTGAGTTTTAAGGAAATCAAATGTCAATCACGTCCTATTTTCTAAGATAGAGATTTTAGAGTACTTTTGGGGAAACACAATTCATTACTTCATTTTTTTTTTAATTCCTTAAAAAAAAAATTCTTTGGAGGGAAAAGAGAATGGAACTCACATTTATTCAGAACTTAAATGGCAGGCACGTGATAGGCAATGTGCTTATTTATAGGATTTTATTTCATTGGGAACCTTTGATTATTTTATTCATTCATTCATCCCATGGTATACAGGACATTCTGTTTGTACCAAGTGTATTCTTTAAAAGCATATAGGCACTCCACTTTAGAAATCACTGATTTTCTTATTCTTCCCTACATATCACGGGCTTGAACCTCAGTTTATTGCTTGCTATATCATTGCCTCTTTCTTGCAAAGCAGTTTTCCATCTTGAAAATACATTTAAAACGTTGTTTATGATACATGGGTCTGTCATTTCAGATGTCCTTGTCATTCAGGGACGTGGCCATAGACCTCTCCCAGGAGGAATGGGAGTGCCTGGACCCTGTTCAGAGGGCCTTGTACAGGGATGTGATGTTGGAGAACTACAGCAACTTGGTCTCATTGGGTAAGGATATCTGTGCAAATAACTGACAATCTGTTTTCTGGAATATCAGTTTTCTCCATTGTTGAATTTCAGAGCTCTGTTTTAAGACACCAGCTGAATGTCTGCCCCCTATTTTGAAAGAAATGGTTTGAGCATTATTGGGTTGGAAACAGGCACTTGGTTAAGCATCATCTTCTCCATCCTGCAGTGACCTTCTCTCTTCCCTCTGGCCCTTCCTATAATTGCCCGTTTTTCTAAATTAGTCCTATATTTGAGTCCCAAGACATTTTCAGAGAAGCCAGGTGTCATATAATGGGTATGCTCAGAATTCCTATAGCTGCTCTGTGTTCATGTCTGACTCACTTGAAAAGAGATTAGCTAGTCTCAGGGTTTTGTGTTTTTGTGATCAGATCAACCTCTACATTTTATATAGTGGTGATCTGGGTTAACAATATCCATTTAAAATTCAAGCAAACAGGGGCTTCCCTGGTGGCGCAGTGGTTGAGAGTCCGCCTGCCGATGCAGGGGACACGGGTTCATGCCCCGGTCGGGGAAGATCCCACATGCTGCGGAGCGGCTGGGCCCGTGAGCAATGGCCGCTGAGCCTGCGCGTCCGGAGCCTGTGCTCCGCAACGGGAGAGGCCACAACAGTGAGAGGCCCGCGTACCACAAAAAAAAAAAAAAAAAAAAAAAAAAAATTCAAGCAAACATATCCCATCGGAGAAAAGACAGATTCTCTTCAACCTACTTTGTGCTTGAAAATTCTAGTCTGTGAATTTTGCATTTTCTATTGAAAGAATTCTGAGGAAGAACTTAGAAGTGTTTTAGGAAACAGTATTTTTCTTTTACGTAAAAAAATAATAAGAACAACAACAAAAATAATACTACATGTTAGGCATCCTTGCAAGCCCTTACATATATTAATTCATTTAATTCTCACAAGAGCCCTATGAAGTAGGTAATATTAGGCCCATTTACATTGATAAAAGCATAATACACAGAAGGAATAACAGCTGGTGGGTGACAGAGGATCTGAACCTAGACCATGGGGCTCCAGAGTCTGTGTCCTCAACCCCTCTCTATACTACCTTTAAAAGCAGAGCAAACCTTTTCCCTCCCCTATCTGGCCTCTTTAGTCCTATGACCATGAGTCCATGTAAATGTCAGTATTCGTCAATGGCCTTTCTTCATTTATCAAATACTATTTTGACCTACAATTTAATATAAATGTAACCAAGTCTAAATTAAGTCATTTAGAACTTAAGGTTTTTTGTTTGTTTGTTCTAAATCATGTGGCATTTCTTTTCTGTGAGCAGGATGTTCCTCTCCTAAGCCAGACGTGATTACTTTATTGGAGCAAGAGAAAGAGCCCTGGACGGTAATGAGAGAAGGAACAAGAAGCTGGTACACAGGTCAGTGATGGCAAATCAGGGGAGGGGGATGCCGTCATAAGTTATAGCCTTTTGGGTCAGGGAGAGGCATGGCCCTAAGATGTTGTTTGGAAAGCTCCTTTCAAAGGCCCAAGGCCTGTGGGGAAAAGGCCTGAAATCTGGGAAAACATTCAAATCCTCTCAACATGAGCTCCCATATATAGGACTTGTTTCTATAGATTTTGATTCCGCTTGTCTGGGTCGGTGCCTGAAGAGCAGTATATGTAAGGAACTCCCCTACATCCATCCTAAGTAGGAGGACCACTGACTTAACTTGTTCCTCTAATCACTTATTTTACCCTCTTTTAGAGTCACATCATTAAGTCTTTTGCCTTCTTTCAAATTGCATTACAATTTAGAGTTCTCTAAATCAGGATCCAGCGAACTTAGGCCCAGGGGCCAAACAGTTCACCATCTGCTTTTGTGTGGCTCACAGGCTAAAACTGGTTTTTACACTTTTAGTGGTTGAAAAAAATCAGAAGAAGGATATTTTGTGAAACATAAAAATTTTTGAAATTCAAATTTCAGTATCTGTAAATAAAGTGGTAATATAGTACACCGACACTTATTCAATTACATACTGTCTATGGCTGCCTTTGAGCTATAAGAGCAGAGCTGAATAACTGCGACAAAGACCACATGCCCTACAAAGCCTAAAATTTTTACTCTCTGGCTCTTTACAGAAAAAGTTTTCAGACCCCTGCTCTAAACCTTTTCATCTAATGTGTATTGTTTTCAGTTTGTCTTTTATTTCGACTATGAGATGCAATCCCTTATTCTACCCCAACATAGAAAAATCACATCACAGCATTTGTTTCCTTCTTGGTTTTTTCTTTTGTTTTTTTTTCCAGATTTGGAGTCTAAGTATGTCACCAAGAAGTTATTTCCAGAAAAGGATATTTGTGAAATATATCTGTTTCAGTTGCAGAGAGTGGACAAAAGTAAAACTTACATCCGTGAGGATACCATTTTCAGAAATGATTTGCAGTGTAAACATGAGTTTGAGAGACAAGAAAGACATCAAATGAGATGTGCTAGTCAAATGATAATCCAAAAACATATACCTCTTCTTCTGCATCAGAAAATTCATGCTAGAGAGAAATCATATGAATGTAAGGAATGTAAGAAGGCTTTTAGACAACAGTCATACCTTATTCAACATCTGAGAATTCATACGGGTGAGAGACCCTATAAATGTAAAGAATGTGGGAAAGCCTGTGTAGGGGACCTTAGAGTACATCAGACAATTCATGGTGGGGAGAGACCCTATGAATGTAACAATTGTGGAAAGACCTTTAGGCTTCATTATCATCTTACTGAACATCAGAGAATACATTCTGGTGTGAAACCCTATGAGTGTAATGAATGTGGGAAGGCCTTTAGTCGTGTTCGAGACCTTAGAGTACATCAGACAATTCATGCTGGGGAGAGACCTTATAAATGTAAAGAATGTGGGAAGGCCTTTAGACTTCACTATCAGCTCACTGAACATCAAAGAATTCATACTGGTGAGAGGCCTTATGAATGTAAGATTTGTGGAAAGACCTTTAGGGTACAACGACATATTAGTCAACATCAGAAAATTCATACTGGTGTAAAACCCTATAAATGTAATGACTGTGGGAAGGCCTTCAGTCATGGCTCATACCTAGTTCAACATCAGAAAATTCATACTGGTGACAAACCCTATGTATGTAAAGAATGTGGTAAGTCCTTTAGTTTTCATGCAGAACTTACTCGACATCATAGAATTCATACTGGTGAGAAACCCTATGAATGTAAAGAATGTGGAAAAGCCTTTCGTCTCCAAACAGAACTTACTAGGCATTGTAGAATTCATACTGGAGAGAAACCCTATGAATGTAAAGAATGTGGGAAGGCCTTTATTTGTGGCTATCAACTTACTTTACATCTGAGGGTTCATACTGGTGAGATTCCCTATGAATGTAAGGAATGTGGGAAAACCTTCAGTAGTCGCTATCATCTTACTCAACATTATAGAATTCATACTGGTGAGAAACCCTATGGATGTCAAGAATGTGGGAAGGCCTTTCGTCTTCAAGCAGAACTTACCAAACATCACAGAACTCATACTTGTGAAAAGCCCTATGAATGTAAGGAATGTGGGAAGGCCTTTATTCGTAGCAATCAACTTATTTCACACCAGCGAATTCACACCAATGAGAACACCTATGAGTGCAAGGAATGTGGGAAGATTTTTAGTCGTCGCTACAATCTTACTCAACATTATAAAATTCATACTGGTGAAAAACCCTATATATGTAAAGAATGTGGAAAGGCCTTTCGCTTTCAGACAGAACTTACTCAGCATCACAGAATTCATACTGGTGAAAAACCCTATAAATGTAAGGAATGTGGGAAAGCCTTTATTCGTAGCAATCATCTTACTCAACATCACAGAATTCATACTGGTGAGAAACCCTACAAATGTAAAGAATGTGGAAAAACCTTTAGTCGGCACTATCATCTTACTCAACATCACAGAATCCACACTGGTGAGAAACCCTACATATGTAATGAATGTGGGGATGCTTTTATTTGTAGTTATCAACTTACCTTACATCAAAGAATTCACACTGGTGAGATTCCGTATGAATGTAAGGAATGTGGAAAGACCTTTAGTCGCCGATATCATCTTACTCAACATTTTAGACTTCATACTGGTGAGAAACCTTATGGGTGTAAAGAATGTGGGAATGCCTTTCGTCTTCAAGCAGAACTTACTCGACATCACACAATTCATACTGGTGAGAAACCCTATAAATGTAAAGAATGTGGGAAGGCCTTTAGTGTTAAGTCAGAACTTACACGACATCACAGAATTCATACTGGCGAGAAACCCTATAAATGTAAAGAATGTGGGAAAGCCTTTATTCGTAGTGATCAACTAACTTTACATCAGAGAAATCATATTAGTGAGGCACCCCCATTCATAATGTAAAGATACAGTGGCCTTTAGAAAATGCCTTTTATAACAACAGAATTCATGATTGATTTAAGAAAGTTTTTACTTGTTAGGGAACATATGGGAATCCCTTTTGCTTCGTGCTCAAAACTTAACAGCAGTAGTTTTATACTATACATATTGATTTAAAGAGTTGAAAAATTACAGCATCACCCAGCCTTGGTTAACTTTAGAGAATGATACTGCTGCAGTACATCTCAAACCAAGATAAAGGGTACCCCTTCCCCCCTCAAAATTGTTGTTGACCAATACTTTTATAAGATACAATGAAATTGGATTACCAGATACATGAAACTGAAAGAAAAACAAACATACAAAATGAAAGCCCCCCATTTTTTATTATTGGACTTAACAGACATAAATTAGCTCTGTCATTTTTCTGAAAATGTCTCTAAATGTTTGCTCTCGGTGTCTGTACCTTAACTCACTGCAGACCAGAAGCAAACAACCTGTGGACCAGCATCAGTACATGGACCACACTTTATATAGCATTGTAACAGAAAATAATTCTGTTAATGTAACAGATGTGGGAAAAGACTTCAGCCATAGCAAACCTTTACTATAGTTCTCATAATTCCACCCCTGCCTGTGTGGTATTGGCAAGACACTACTCCCCTCTGTGCTTTATTTTATTTTATTCTATTTTACTTTATTTAATTTCTTTTGTGCCTCAGTTTTAAAGTGGTGATTATAGTACCTACCTAATAGTACTTTTGTAAGGATGAAATGTTAATAAAAAACAAAACCTTTAGAAGAGCATTATTCAATAAATATTATTATTAGTGATATTAGTAAGTTCATGTGAGAGGAAGACCCTGTGAATATAAAGAATTTGTAAAAAACTGTCCACTACCTTTCATTTTGTTTACTTAAATTAATAATTAATTATGGATAAAGTTTAGTGAAATAAACATTCACTTCTAAAATTCAGAAGTCATTTCTGAAAACTAATGTGAGAAAGAAGTCTCTAGAGTTGATGGGTATGGAGATTATGAGAGAACGCTTTTGAAGAATCAGGGAGAGCTGTAATGCTTTTTCTTTTATAATCCATAGAGCAGACGTGTTACAGTCTTCTTTTTCTACCCCAAATTCATGATAAATTAGAAACTAACAATGAAAAGGCCACTGTCCATTTGGAAAAAAATAAAAGAATAGTACGGGGAACACTGGTATGCCCTCTCTAGATTCAGTGATTGTTAAAACGTTGTAATATTTGGTTTGCTTCTGTATAATTTTTGACATATTTTTTGCTGTGGTATTTAAGTGTAAATATAGACATTATAACATTTCACCTCTCTCTATATATATATCATGTAACTCCTAAGAATAAAGGCTGCCTCCTACTTAATCACTATATAACTTCACACCGAAGGAGAGTAACAGCAGTACCATATCTGCAATATTACAGATAGATAAGCAGTGCCTTAACCCAACATATCTAAAAGAATGTTTCTGGGAACAGTAGTATTTAATTGTACTTGAAAAATGTTCTGTGGTCACAGATACTTATGAACTTCTAAATACTAAGTCCCTTCCAAGAAAAAAATGTTAATTATCACGCTAGCAAAGGACTTAAGAGGCCTACAATAAAGAAAATTTGCTTAACTTAGTTTATCTTACTGTATCTTAAACTTTACTAAGGAAGTCCCATTCACAATACCTAATTTCTTTGGGATTTGAACCCACACTGACAAGGCTGCCATAACTGAAAAACAGTGACCCTAAAGATGGACACTCCAGATAACCATAGCAGATGCTTAGCTATGTTGAGAAAGGAAATGCATGATGTATTTCTCTGCTGCTCACATCTCTTCCTCTGCAGTCAGTTGCTTGCCCTCTGAATGTAGGGCTGATACTTTCTACAAAATTAAAAACCCATTTGGTTTAGTTTTTTATATGAACATACCATGACATATTTAAACCTTCTCTTCTTTTTTAGTGTTTAACAATTTTTCATTATTTCAGATATACTTCAGTGAATATCCTTGTCTGTGACTGTTGGTTTCTGTGAGCTGGAATTTCTTTAATTGTACACATGTGGAAGTAGAACTGCTCATACATTATATATTCTTTCAGTTATGTTAGATATTGCTACATTGATCATAGGTCACATACACTTCCAATTCTATTAGATATTGCCAAATTGTTCTCTTAGACTCCTATCAAATTGAGTATTCCTACAGCCTTATGTTAGGTATAAAGTTTTAATAAATATTTTCATAAATTTCAATTTCAGTTGCACATTTTTTCAAACGTGTTTCTTGGCCAATCATTATTCCTTTACTTTGAATTTACAATTCTTGACTTTCTCCATTATTATTGTTCTGTTGTTTGTTTGTTTTCTAATTGACTGGAATGGCATTCTGGATAATTCATTTGCAATTCTTTTCTCCTACCTTAAATATAGCATTAGTTATGTATCTACTGAACACTCATTCTATTTTTATGAGACAGATTTCTAGGTTATAAATTGTATAATAATGTTTTATTTATTTTCTAATATTTATGTCTATTACTTTATTTACTTTTCTTTTTGAGATAGACTCTTCAGAACAAAATTGAATATTATGGTGATAGCCGTCATCAATTTCTCTGAATTTAATGGAAATTTCCCAGCATTTAATCATTTACCATAATGTTCACTCTATTTGGAGATAAATTCTCTGTGTTGCCTCTAAATAATTACCTTCAATATTTGTAGGGGACCAGAAGATACCTACTTTGTTTGGTAGTGATTGCTGAATTTTGTCCAAGGCCATTTTGTTATTTATTGGTATAATCTTATGTTTTCTCACCTTAAATTTATTGATGTATTGATTTGTTTTTATTAGTTCCTTGATATAAATTTATTGATGCACTGATTTGTTTTTATTTAAAATTGAATTTTAAACAATTCTGGTCATATACTGTGATTTTTGTCATACTGCTAAAGTACATTTGGTAATATCTTAGAATTTTTCCATCTATAATCATATGTGAGGCAGTATTATAGTTTCCTTTTTCTTTGATAAGATTTTAGAATTCAAATTAACTGTTCTTTAAAAATTAGAAACAACTTGTCTCTAAAATATGCTGAATTTTGTTTTCTATTTTTTGGCCATGCCAATTGGTATGCGGGATCTTAGTTCCCTGACCAGGGATCAAACCTGCACTCCCTGCAGTAGAATGCAGCATCTTAATCACTGGACTGCCAGGGAAGTCCCTGTTGAATTTTTATATATTGACTATGTATTTGATATCCTTGCTATAAATTCACTTAGTTCTAGAAGGGTTTATTTTTTTTTTATAAATTAGAGTTTTCTGTAAACACAATCAAGACACATATCAATATAAAGATAATTCCTTTTTCATTTTCATTTCCTTTTATATCCTTCAATTACCTTATTGCACAGGCAAGGACAGTGTTGAAGAAGCACTCAGAATGGACCTTGTTTCTGACCTTAGGGAAAAAGCATTCAATCATAAAGTGTTATGTTAGCTGTTCATTTCCATAGATATCCTTATCCGATTGTGAAAGATTTTTTCATTACTAACTTACTGAGAGCTTTACCATGAACAGTGTTGAATTTTTTCAAATACATAAAAAGCACCTATTGACATGATCTTTTGGTTTCCCTCCATCTTTAATGTGGTGAATCGCTTTGATTAATTTTAGAATGTCATACCAGCCTTGTGTTCCTAGCTTATGCCCCATTTGGTCATGATGTATTATCCTTTATACATATATTGCTGAATTCCATTTTCTAATTGTTTTTTGGAGATTTCTGTGGGTATGATTATTATTGATATTGATCTGTATTTTTTTTTTCTTATGATCTCTTTTTCAGGTTTTATTATCAGTTAAGTTGATGTCATAGAGTGAGATGGAAAGTGTTCTTTATATTCTGAAAGCAATATTGTAAGATTCATATTATTTCTTTCTTAAATTCTGGGTCAAATTGCCATTGAAACCATCTGAGCCTGGAGTTTTCTTTGTGGAAAAGATTTATAGTTTCAACAACAATATATGCCCCCAAATTGAATTTTTATATTACACCAAACTAGTGAAAATGAATTGTAAAAGAGAAAAGTTCCATTTTTAGAGAAATAAAATACATAGCAATAAGTTTAACAAAATGCATGCAGGACTACTCCTTAAAAATTATACAGTTTTGCTGAGAGAAGCTAGAGAATACCTAAATAAATGCAAAGATATGCCATAATCATGGGTGAGAAGACCCAGATATGTATGAAAGGCAATTCTCCTCAAATTTACCTGTACATTCAATGGAAGGTAATCAAAATCCCAACAGGCATTTTTGTAGAAGGTGCTACGTTGATTGTAAAACATATGTGGAGGGCTTCCCTGGTGGCGCAGTGGTTGAGAGTCCGCCTGCCAATGCAGGGGACACAGGTTCATGCCCCGGTCCGGGAAGATCCCACATGCCACGGAGCGGCTAGGCCCGTGAGCCATGGCCACTGAGCCTGCACGTCCGGAGCCTGTGCTCCGCAACAGGAGAGGCCACAACAGTGAGAGGCCCGTGTACTGCCAAAAAAAAAAACCCCAAAACAAAAAAACATATATGGAAATGCAAAGGACTTAGAATGCTTAGACTTAGAATGCTTAGATAATCTTTTAAAAGAGAAACAATGCTGGGGGATTTATACTACCTGAACTCAAGGTTTAATATGCAGCTGGAATAATCAAGACAATGTGGTATTGGTAATAATGATAAACACATAAGTGGAACAAAATAGAGAATCAAGAAATAGATTTACACTTATAAAGTCATTTGATTTTCCTTAAAAATTTCAAGACAATTCAGTGGGGGAAAGGACAGTTCTTTCAGTGGTGCTTGAACAACTGGCTAAACTTGGTAGGGAAGTTAACCTCAACCTATACCGAACAGCATACAAAAATTTAAATTGAGGTGGATCATAGATATAAACAACTATAAATTCTGACCTAAGCAAAAAAGAAAAGGCCAGAACCAGAAATATAAAAAGTATAAAGGAAAAACTTTATGGGTAAAGGCAAACATACCATAAACTTGGTAGATCAATCACTTATAAAGCTAGTTGGAAGGTTAGAAGACAAAACTAGTAAAATCATCTATATCCACAATAATTAGTGAAGGGATACACAAAACAAAAAGATGTAAAATATGATGTTAAAAAATTAAACATGGAGTGTGTTAAAAAGGCAGAATTGTTAGAATGTGTTTGAACATAAGAGATCATTGACTTAATATATTCAGATAGATAGATGATAAAAAGATAGGTAGGTAGGT